TATGTTTAGAATGTAAGGTGAATAAATTACTATCAAATAAAACTGCTATATAAAATTATTAAATGTTAAATAATTTTCTTAATTTATTAATTTTAATGATATTTACATACTAACAATATAAATAATAATTAATTAAAAACACTGCATAGTAAAAACAAAAAAAAAATGTATTAAGATAAGGTTGGAGATTTTGGTTTTGATCAAACACATATAAAGATCAATTATGATGATAATAACAACATCTATCTTTTATGACCAAACATGAAAATATATATCAAACATGTGTTTAATTTTTGTATGAACAAACACATATAAAAAAAATCTTAACCAACATCCTATTTTTTGGTTAATTAAATAGTTTTCATATCATTTTTATTATCCAATTCGTTAAAAATACTGATATATAGTTTTTCTAAAAAAAAATTTCTTATGATCTAAAGAAAATAACCACATTTTATTTTTAAATCTCTATTATTTTTAAAAAGAAAAAAATACATCAAATTTAATTTTGATAAAGAAAAAAATACATCAAATACATCAATTACTTATGTTTATAATTTAAGGTAAATTAAATTACTATCAAATAATTATTTTTAGTTAATATTAAAATAATTTTTAAAATTACTCTCTTAACTACTATTTTTACAATTAGTTTTTAATTAAATATTTTTATTCATGTTCATTACCAAATTCTATTTTAAAACATAAAATATGATACAAATCTCTTTATTTAAGATTTTAAAAGTACTATTATCTAATATTTTTAAAAGTAATTAATAAGGATTTTAGTAATGAAAAATTAATATTATATTATTTTATGATTTCCTTTTGTCTTGGATTTAAAAAATAATAATTTTACGTACAAATAATTATTTCCAAGTAATATTAAATATTTTAAGAAATTTCTATTTTCAAAATTCATTTTCTTGGTATTACAAATACTTTTACATTTTTCTATGTTAATTGGATAAATTATTAAAAAGAAAAACTACTATCAAATAAGCTTTAACAGTTATCTTTGGTCAGGTTTAAAAATATGGGTTAGGATTTAAAAAGGTAAATATTCCAATTTTTAAAAACATATTTGATATTTACTGAAATAATTATAGTTGTAGGATTCTATTATTCATTTTTGTTTAAATTTACTCTTTTCTTTATAATTCTCTTTCTTTAGTATTTTAAACATAATATTACATTTTTTAAGAAAATAAGAAATTACATTCAAATATATTTTTACAATTAGATTTTTTCAGAATTTTGTAAAAAGAAATAGTACTATCAAATATTTTTCATAAGATAATTATATTTATGATAAAAATTAAACACATCTTAAAATATGTATTGCCATGTGTTTTTATAATATTAATCAGAAACTTTTAAGAGATTATGTAATAATATTTTAAAAAAACCCTAATAACAAATATTTTTAAATTAATTTTTATATAAACCAAAAGATATTTTTTCATTTTTCCTTTTAAATCCTGACTAAAGATAATTATATAATTTAATTAATAATATTTTTTTTGTTTTTAAGAATTTGATGATAAACACTAAAGCCAGTTTAGTTAATAAAAATATGTAGTGATATTAAAAAACGAAGTGTAAAAATTTCAATTTTAAAATTTATCTAGTATTTAATGAACTATTTGTAAATAATTTCTTTTAAATCTTAAACAAAATATAACTGTAAGAGCTTGTGTAATAGTAATTTTACTTTTCTAAAATTATAAAACAAAAATTTAAACACATGTCACAATCTTAAAATATATATTGTCATGTGTTTCGGTAATATTAATCAGAAACTTTTAAGAGATTATGTAATAATTATTTTTTTTTTAAAAAACCTAATGACATATATTTGTAAAATAGTTTTGGTAATCTAAACAAAAAGAGAATTTTTTTTTCTTTTTAATCCTGACCAAATACAATTTATAATTTAATTACTAATAATTTTTATTTTTAATAATTTAATGATAAACATAATACTAAAGCCAGTTTAACTAAAAAGAACAAATTGTAAAATGTGTAGGGATATTAAAAATGAAGTGTAAAACTTCCAATTTTTAAAAATTATTTAATATTTACTGAAATAATTATTTGCTAATAATTTCTTTTAAATAGTAAAGAAAATATAACTGTAAATTTAAAAACGAATTCTAAAAATTGAAAACGAATTGTAAAATTCCAATTTTAAAAATTATTTAATATTTACTGCAATAATTATTTGCTAATAATTTATTTTAAATCCTAAACAAAATAAAACTGCAAAAGATTGTGTAATAGCAATTTTCCTTTTATAAAATCATAAAACAAACCATAAGAATATTTTTGGTAATAATAATTTTCCTTGTCTAAATCTTAAACAGAAAAAAACTTGTATTATATTTTTATTATTTAATATTTACTGAAATAATTATTTGCTAATAATTTCTTTTAAATCGTAAAGAAAATATAACTATAAAGGATTGTGTAATAGTAAAATAATTATTTTCTAATAATTTATTTTAAATCCTAAAGAAAATATAACTATAAAGGATTGTGTAATAGTAATTTTCGTTTTCTAAAATCATAAAAACAAATCATAAGATTATTTTTGGTAATAATAATTTTACTTTTCTAAATCTTAAACAAAAAAAGATGTGTATTATATTTTTTGACACATGTCACAATCTTAATTTTTTTATTGACACATGTTGTAATCATGTTAATTAGTAACTTTGAAGAACCAAGCTTTATATAATAAGATTTTTAAAAAGGAACAAATACTTTCGCGATGTCACAATCTCAGAATTTTTATTGCTACATGTCACAATCTCACAATTTTTATTGCCACATGTCGCGATCATGTTAATTAGTAACTTTGAAGAACCAAAGTTTATTAATAAGATTTTCCCATAAAATTAATATAAAAATTTAGAAAAGTAAGAGAGAGATAGACATTTGGTAACAATGGATCATTCACAATGATACTAAAAATATATTGATTGAACGAAGAAGTAGCACAAAAAACCTAGGGTAGCACAACATGTTGAACAAGAAAAAAAACTGCTTAGGTTCTCTAAACATTCTGTAAATCGAGAAAAAGAACTTTAAGATGTAAAGTAAGAAGCAGATTGTCTGATCCCCTGACCACGGAGAAGGAGTGTAATGAAGAGATTTTGGCTACAATGATGGGTAGAGAGACTACTCGCCGCCGCAGCCATAAGAAAAGGTCAATATAGGATCGTGTGACTGGATCCTGTAGAATTTGCAAAGCGCCAAAAGAGGATTTCGCCGGTGATTTTTGTTTTATTTTCGTCACTGTGTTTCAAAATCAGACCTACCTTGTCTCCCAGGGACCAGGTTCGACCTCTTGTTTGGACCGGTTACATAACCAGTTTTGGGTAATCAGCACTTGGTGTGGTTTGATTGATCTTTGATTTGTTAACTTCTTAAGGCAAGACTGAAACGACAAAAGATGTTTTGACAATGCATTCTCATCATGATGTGTGTTACAAAACATATTTGTCGCAAAACTCAGGACAATATCAGATTCACTGTGCGAGCAATTGCATAGAATCTGATACGAGATGGAAGTAGGCCCGTCTCAAAAAAAATTTGACCCATTGACTAAATAACAATGTTTTAACTTTTTTTACATATAATTATGATAATTTAAAATATTTCGGGTTCTTATCTAAATTTTTTTAAGAAAATATAGATTATTTTCCAATACTATTTATGCTAAAAATTATTTTGGATCCTAGGTCCAGACCTTTTTGCCACCCCACAAAGTTGGACCTGGATGGAAGGGTCAAAAATCAAAAGCTTGAGTGGTTCGCTTTTAATTCCAGACAAGTAGGCCTGCGACAATTAACCGGAACCGAATATCCGAATCGGATCCGACCCGGAATAGATCGGTTCGGTTCGGTTTCGGTCATGCCACAATTAACCGATGGGTATTGATGTTGATTATCCATGGGTATCGGTTCGGTTTCGGTTTTTACCCGGAACCGATCGGGTACTCGATTAAACCGGATTCTACATTTAAAAAATAGAGAATTGTGTCCAGGAGGACTCGAACCCGGGTTGGAGGGACAAATTACCAGGAGCAATACCACTGAACTGACTCAACATCGTTGTACATTAGTACATTCTACTAGTATATATATGATTTTTTATTTTATTTTTATTTTTATTTTAAAAAATAAATTTAAAAAATAAAAATAAAACAAAATATTAATATTTCGGGTTTAAATTTGAATATCCGAACCGACCCGGAACCGGGGTGGAACCGATCCGGATCCGAACCGAAGTTTACTAAGTACTAGTTGGGTATAGTTTTCTTATAACCGATTTACCCGGAACCGAACGGATATTATCCGGAACCGTACCGAATATCCGAAATCCCAGCCCTACAGACAAGCATAGAGAAGCTGAGTTGATTCTTCTAAATAAATATAATAATTGTTTAAATCATAGTAGCAAGCCACTATTTTTGCTGCTTCCTCTTCTTCTCATAAGCTGGATGGTATGGTTGACATGGGAAGAGGGTGGCAACTTCTGAAATAAATTAAACGCTTTCTTTTTGCTGAAATAGCTCCCTTTAATCTTCTTATTTTGCACTTAAATTCCTACTATTATAGTATTCTCTAATCAACAAACAAATTTTCACCTGACTCATGCTATTTACGTCTTCTTCTAAGAGCATGATTAATCCGGAGTTCTTAGGATGAAGTTTTTAACGGAAATTAAGAAATTGTTTTTTAACTTCTAACTAAAAAAACTAAGAACCGGTTCTTAGTTTTTTTAGTTAAAAGTTAAGAAACAGTTTCTAAACTTCCGATAAGAACTCCACCCTAATAACCCCGGTTTAATCATGGTCTAAGTTTACATAAAGAAAAATTTCCCATTAACTCTTCTTTGATTTGTTAATTCTGACCCCTAAAACATGTTATGACAATGTAACTCCTCCTTTGGTGCATTTGCCCTAGGCACTCGAGTACTTGACATGTCCAAAACATTAATATAACAAAAAAAAACATACATTGCTGTAACAGGGAGATCAGATAATATTACAATTCTCAAACAAATGAATATTGCTTATGCTCATCAAACAAAGACTCTTATTAAATGAAACATTAAATGGTCAAACCAAACACAAAACCAATGCCTTTTGTGAATTAGAAGAAGGCCAAAAGAGGTAGCAGAAGCAGCAGTTGAGATGCAAGAGGGATGACATTGGCTACACCGCTTGAGCCAGGACTTCCAGTGAAGCCACGAGGGTCAATTGGAGGCGGTGTAGCAGGAGGAGGAGGAGGAGAACGAAGCAGTGGATTGGATTCTGTGGGTGGTGGAGGAGCTTCAGACTCTGGTGGTGAAGGAGATTCAGAGTCTGGTGGTGAAGGAGATTCAGAGTCTGGTGGTGAAGGAGTTTCAGACTCTGGTGGTGGTGGTGAAGGATCTCCAAACTCTGCTGGTGGAGTAGATGTTAAGCTTTCATCCTCAAAACCTGAAACCATCAACACTTCATTAGCAAATGCTTTACTTTCTAGTTATTATGTACAGTCACTTTCTCATTTTAGTCACTTACAGTTAGACCGTTTCCAACCCAAAACCATCCTCTCCCGGTCGAATACAATGCGGTAACCAGCCATCAAGTTCTCTGCAATCCACACATACTCTCAGTATTATGTATATACAAAAATAATCAATTATTGAGACACTTACGTCCAATGATGTTAGGGCTTATAAGATCATTAATCTTCAGAATACTCAAGCAGTAAATCCTGCCCCCTGACTGTTCAAAACCAAAATACAAAAATGTAAATAATATATAAGCTAATACAAGAAAAAAAAAAGACAAGTCATCATGCCTCGGTCTGTATTGTGACAAAAGGATTCTTGATGCTCATTACTGATCCTCCTCCAAAAGTCATATCTATTGGCGGGAAAGTAATGTTTGTAGCGTTTGCACTCAAGTTGTAACAGAACTCAAACGGAAACCGAGGATCGGATGGTTCTCGAATGTCAAAGGCAAGACTGTTAAACTACAAAAAACAAAAAAAAAATGAATGACATCGTTAGTCATTTGATGTAACAAAACAAAACGCAACGCAACGCAACTTACAGCTTTGGTAAAAGCACTATAAGCTGGCTCGCTTAAATGTGTATATGATGAGCCAGTGTCGAACTGAGCAGACATGCTAAAACCAACAGGTTTGTCTCCTATTGATAGTCCCGTCACATTCACACCATACGCCGATGCGAAGGGAGTCTCAGACTGGTCTGTGTAGCCTTTGTCTCCGAAACTGATTCTTCCCACAACTCCAATGACACGTCCGAAACATATCGAGAAGGAGTTTGCAGCGAGTTTGGCTTTTGCAAGAAGGCTAGGAACAGAATAGTCCTTCACACCAAGACCGAGAACACCGTTCACTCCTTGATTGTTCTGGAACAGACCTGTCTGTATCTGACCGCAACTGCAATCATAATCACAAACAGATCATTAACATATTGCTTTTTGCTTGCAGAGAAAAAAAGAGACATTTAGTTACCCAAGTGTGACGTTAGCTTCAAGAAGCTTTAAATCCGCATCTTCTGTGACGAGATTCAACACATCTTGTAACAATGTACCCGTAGAGGATGTGGTAATAGATTCAGAGACTTGATAAGGACAAACACTTGAAGGAGAAGAACAGCGTCTGGATTCAAAACAACGAGTGTCACTGCATCTAATGCTTGAACTTGTGGAAGAAGTATTGGGACTGTATAGATTCAGTGGTACACTCTGTGTCAAAACGAAAAAGAGTTTTAAGGAATAAATATTAGCCTTAAAGAAAATGTGTGTAACTTCTATGAGAACAAGGGCTAAAGGCTAACCGCAGGAAAGCCAGCATCTTTCAAGTCACGGATGCAAGTAACACCACAGTTGCAAGGTAACCAAAACAAATCGCTTCCTGTGTCCAAAGCCACCAGGAACCATGTAGCTGGTGTTCCCACAGATACATTTGCGTAATGTAGTCTGATCATACAAAAAAAAAAAAAATTTACCACAAATTTGATATTAATTTTCAAAAGATAACCCTCCTAAATTATTTAGAATGTTTAAAATATAATTTTTAAACCTAATTCTCACCCCTATAAACTAAAACCATAAACTCAGATGCTAAAGTTTTTTTTTTTTTTGAACTGAAGTTAAAGTTTTTTTGTTGTAAAGAGATATCCGACTTATAGGATGTAACTGGTGAAAAATAAAAGAAACGTTATGAATTATTATTTATGAAATTTAATGGACTGAAATCAGCATTCCAATTATTCTAAAAACTTTTTGATTTTGAAAGATTTTCAAATGAAAGTTAATTTTTTTCTGGAATAATATGAAATGCTATCAATGAAATTGAATACACTTTCAATTTTTCATTGTAACTTGTGAATATTTTTTGGAATGCAAAGAAATTAAACATTTATGAAAATATTATTCCAAAAATATGCATTCCAGTTGCACCCAACCATGGTATTTCAATCAAATTTTCAAAAAAAAAATCATATGGAGACAATAATATGGATCGAGAGAAGAAGAGAAGTTAGTACTTACGATCCCAAGAAATTGGCAAAAACCGTGAGGTTTCCATGAGCGGAAGTGAGAGGGGAGTCATCGTTGTTGGAGGCAAGACCTCTACCTCTGATCAAGCGATCACGTTGGACCAAAAACTTGAAGTACTCCAAACTTCCTTCTTTAGGGACAAGACCGTCAAAGCCGAGATTCTGCCTGACAGCATCAGAGAACATGTGGTGAACTTCGAAGCTGAATTTACCAGCAGCCTCACATCTCTCTAGTCCCCATGACAACACTAACACAGACAATAACACGAAAACATGGCGTGCTAAAGCCATGTTTTTGCAAGATCTTTTACTTTTGCCTTTTTGGATAATGTAATACGACGGGATGAATCATGTATTTGTAAGGACGTTGAGGGAATGAAAAGGCCAAAAGCTTGACTCTTTCGCATTGTTCCAGACAGACAAGCAGAGAGAAGAGCTGATTTGGTTGTTGGAGGTAATAATACTTGTTTAATCCAAGTAGTAGTAAGCCACTATCTTCTTCTTCCATGAAGCTGAAGGTTGACGAGAACAGAGTCTATGATGCTTAGGGTGGCGAACTTATGAAATTAGGCGCCTTTTAGTTTTTAGTCAACGGTTTCTTTTTTTCGGTAATGCCCCTTTACTCTTCTTATTTTCCACTTGAATCCTGCTATTATTCGACTTCAATTTTTAAGGATATATAATTAGAATGCCTCATAGACAAACAATTACATTGTAGTTCATCTTTTAACAAAGTACGTCAGTCACGTCGCATTAGGATATGATATCAATAGTATATACCTAGTTAAAAAAAGGAAGTTGGGTGGATTGTTACAGATTTTATCGTCATACTTAATTCGACATATTCAACAAACTAATTAAAAAAACTAATCTCATCAGCAGACAAAAAACGGCATTATGAGTTATGAGTCGCAGCTAGATAAGTTGAATCATTCTTCTGTTTGAAAATGTTGCCTATGTTACATATATAATCCATCGAGTTTTACGTTGAACTTTTTAAATAAGTCTGTCCTATACTCTTGGATATTTTATAAATTGGATGAGAAATCGATACTCGCATGTTCTCATATAAATATGGCTATTTGAAACCACGCGGTGGTGGGCTAGCAGTACTTGAGAGATCTCCGGGTTCAATACATTCCCGGTTTAGAATCTCTATATGGTCACGGGGGCAAAATTTAATATCTAAGTCCCAGCATCTGTTGACCGAGCCGAGGCATTACTCGGTCGATAACTTTGGTCGTTAAGGATATTTTCTGCTAATTAGGATCTAATTTGATGGAGACTAGGATACACCAAATTATTTTAAAAATAACTATTTTAAATAAAAGTGATTTTATGAAATAACTAAAAAATTATAATTAGATTTTAAGAGAAAAGATAGAGAGCAATAGGAAGAAAAAAATATGAAAAAGGGAGAGATTTTGGATAGATAGTAAATTTAGTCTTTTTGTTTGTATTTTAGACCTATTTTTTTTTTAAATAATTAGAGTGTTATTTGCCAATATCCCACTTGGATGAAACATGAAGGGGGAGAAAACGTGGGACACAAGTTCAGAATTGGAGAATTCTGGGCGTGTATTGAATTATATATGAAAGTCCAATGGTGAAAGTAAGATGTAACTGATACTAGGTACTTGAAGTTTTTTGTTAGGTTCCAGATTAGTTAGTTTCAGATCTGAATCGGTTCAAATCTATAGTTAAAATACTTGGAAGTTTTGGGTACTGGTTAGGGGCGGTATATATATTCATGATCTGAAAAGATCTGAAGTACTCGAATCTCATCCAAATTTAACCAAAATCTGGTATATTTATCCAAAAGTTTGCAAAACTACCAAAATAAACTATTAATTATTGAAACTAAACCAATTTAAACTCTAAATTTGACATATAAAGTCTTACTAGGATAAGACCTGCGCCTTGCGCAGGGTGAATATATGTAATAAAAATATAAAATTTTAATATTCACAAATTTAAAATTTACATATGATTGTTTTTGTATGTATTTGAAATTTTAAAATTTTGGAATTTTTATATAATTATCTATACGTATGATCAAAAACAACTTTAATTAGAAATGTAAATCAAATCTTAGAATTTAATGGATCTGATTTCATATATCTTTTTACTTTTCAGTGTTCGAGTGATGGAAAATAAACGGAGTGGCACTGGACTTGATTGGTAGAGTATAGCAAGTTCCCTAATGTTTTTAAAGAAGCAATTGGTAAAATATTTGCAATTAAAATATATAAAGTTTTAAAACTAATTTAATATAATTTATTTATTTGTCTAATAATATTAGAAAATTATATTTTTAAAAAATTATATTTTTTAAAAATAATTTTCTAAAAAATTATGTTAAATTTAAAATTATTTTTAAAAGCAATATTTTAAGTTTTTTGAATACAAATAAACAATTTAAAATTAATTATTGTCATGATTTAATATAGTCATAATGATTTAAAAAATTAAAAAAAAAATAAAAGTTAACAAATTAAAAATTAACTCAGTTTTATATCATGATTTAACAATTTAAAAATTAATTATGGTTATGAGAAATTTACGTTCACGTGTCAATCCTATTTATCTTCCAGTTATGAGAAGTTTACGTTCACGTGTCAATCCTATTTATCTTCCATTTTTCTCTTGCTATGTTTTTTTTTC